AAAGTTGCACAAACATCGAGCATCTTGGCTTCTTGCACATGTGTCACAGGACCTTTTGGCCTCTGACGTGCTCCTGAGATCCTCCTCACCACCCGTGCACGGCCACCCAGGTGCCTGGCCCCAGGGCTGACTTCCCAGCACGTGGTATGTGCAGTCGCACCGGGCTCAGAAGGATTCCATGCTAGGTCCATGCTTCATGGTCATCATCTTGAGAGAGAGAGAGGATAAAGAAATTTGGGACACATTGTGTGTTATGAAGCAAACAGAACCTAGAACCTGCGTGACCCAAAGGAGTGAGCAGCAGGTAAGAAAGGGAAGACTGCCTGCAGACAGGACTGCCGAGAGAAGGCCTCCCGAGAGTGGGCTTTTAGCTGAGTCCTTGAAGATCAGCAGGGAAAGATCATCGTAGGCAGAGAACAGCTAGTGAAATGGCCCTGAGATGGGCTAGATTTGGGCGTGTTCGAGGAGCAGAAGGAGGACCCCATGGCAGGAAGGTAATCCCAACACAGATAGGATGAGGCTGGAGGAGCCTCTGGAGACAGGTCATGCCTGGCCTGGTGTGTCAGGAGACAGGGAGAAATGCTGTTTGTACCTAATGGGAACAGACAGGAAAGTTGCAGGTGCAGTGTGACGTCAAGCATGCACATTAAAGGGCACCTCCCCGCCACACCCCGCTCTGTGGGAAATGGGTTGGAGGGCTGGGGTGGGAGGAGACAGGGGCAGGAGGGGTGGTGTGGGTCAATGGATGGGGGCTATCTGAAGCACCTGAAGAGAGATCATGGTGGTCAGGGAAGGTGACAGGAGCAAAGGGGCCGGGGACGAGATGCATTTTGGGGGTTGCATAAACTGGCATTGCTGTTGAGGGTGAGGAAAGGGTGGAACCATGATTTCCGCCTTTCCTGCCTTGACCTGCCGTGTGTGAAGGAAGCCAGAGTGCATGTGAGCCCTTCTGTGTGTGAAGTTCATGAGGCATCTGCATGGGGTGGCTCCTGGGAAATCTGAACTGGAGCTGAGGGGAGAAATGGGTCTGGATTTATAACTGGGAGTCACCAGGCTAATAGGGTTATTTGAGTTTACAAGAATGGGTGAACGTGTCCATAGTGAGAACTTCCAGGGGTAAGAAAAGAGCACTCAGGGCGGGAGAGAAGTGCAGAGCAGGCCAGGCTCTGATGGGATGGCCAGGGCCAGGGAAGGGGCACAGCCCTGGAGAGGATGTGTGCAGGTGAGAGTGAGGCCAGTGGAGCCCTCAGCTCACCAGCGACTGGTGGCAGCAGGGCCGCCAGGCCTGACGGTAGAGTCGGTCCCTGTTTCTACTTTTTTAGGGGGGAAGTAAGAGCAAAGGTCATGAGCAGGGGGAGGAGCAAGTGTAGGGGGAGGATGAGGAGCGCATAGTTCTAGGCCTGGAGAGAGCACGTAGTCTGGCCCAGGGCCGGTGGGAGGCACCCATATCATGGGCCCTGCAGGGTCTTAGAACCCAGGTTAGTATAGGAGGGGCTGCTGGGGGTGAGGAAGTGGGAGTGGAGTGGGCTGGTGTCTGGGTGAAGCTTTGGATGGACAGCAGAAGGTGTCTGAGCAGACGAGTGGAAGGAGAAAGGAGGTAGTGGCTGCAGACGGGGCATGTGAAATTAGATTTTTAGATGCTGTCAAATGTCACGTGCACATGTATTTCTGGGGGAAAGATGGTCTCAATGAATGAATTCTTTCTAAAAGTCACTTTGTTCTCACTGTGATTATCCACAGTGCATCTGTGTGCAGAGGCTACAGCTCCCAGGTCATCTCGTCTGAAATGTCACCTCTAATTGGGAAGCCATGTCTCTCATAGATGGCCAAGCGTTACCTGGCTCCTGGCTGCTGGATCTGTGGCCTTGCAGAGGCAGCTGAAGCAGGGACAGCTGGCAGTGATGGCTGCAAACGGGTCCACAAGAGCTGGCACCAGAAACAAGGGCAACCTCACCAGCTTGAGTGGGGCCTTCCATGAGACAGTGGGCAGGAGAGACAGGTGGAGCAGGAGAAGCTGGGGGCGGCCTGGGCAGAGGAAGAGGTGAGGGGCAGGAGAAGGAGGGTGTGGAGCTTTGACCCACTGGCATATCATCTCCATATCCACCTGGATTGGTTGTTCTTTACTGCATAACACATGACCTCTAAGTGTGGGGGCTTCTAGCTACAGTGATCATTTTACGATAGTAAATGATCCCACTGTTTCTCTGGGTCAGTTCAGACATGGCACCGTGGGATGGGTTGCTTTTGCTCCACCATGGGCCTCAGCTGGAAGATGTGAAGGCCATAGACTGGAATCTCTGAAGACTCATCTAGCCACAAGCCTGCAGGGTGCTGGCTCTCAGCTGGGACACCACATGAGCCTCTTCATGTGGACTGCGCTTCCTCACAACGTGGTGGCTGGTTCCATGGGCAAGCATGGGGGAGAGAGAAAGGGAGATGGAGGAGCAGGCAGAGGGAGACAGGGGGAGAGAGAGAGATGAAGAGAGAGAGGCAGGCAGGGGAGGAGGAAAGTGAGAGAGAAGGAGACAAAGAGGAGGGAGTAGGGGGAGGGGAGAAGGGTGGGAGAAGGAGGGAGACAGGAGGGATTGGGAGAGGAGGAGGAGGACGGCCAGAGGGAGGACGGCACTGGTGGCTGCTGACTCCTTTTATTGTCTTGCTCATTTGAGAAGTCACACAGGGTTGTGTCCATTCTGGGGGGGCATCTGGGGCCCGAATTTTCAGGGGTGGGGGTGTAGGCCCACCCAAGGTGGAGGAGCATCAGTCACATTAGGAGAAGAGCCTCAGGACAGCACTGCCACGGCCACCATTGGAACAAGGTCTCTGTCACAGCCTCTCAACTCTTCAGAGCCACACACTGTTTGACTTTGCTTATTGGCCCAGTTCATTCTCAGAATCTGGGAGTCTCAGATCTTCTGGGAGACTGAGCAGAATCTTCCAGAAGCATCACAGATGCTCGTCATTCACCCACAGAGCAAAGTCCTCTGAGACCTTGCAGGGGAGGGTGTTGGGGTGTTGTGACACTGAGGAACACTGTACAAAACTCAAGAAAAGATGGATTGTCCATGGCCAGAGGAGTGAGGAGATTTTGGCTCAGACAGAGTAGTGATGGCTTCTGCACTTCCTCAGTCACTTTCCCGTGCCCTGCGCCTCAGTTTCTCTCTCTGCCATTTGCTCTCTCTTTCTGGCTCATTGGTAGTAATGCTGTGCAGAATTAGATCACACAGGCAACGCAGGGGCATGGCAGGTGTGTGTGTGTGCAGTCATGGGGATGAGGCTGACTACTGTCGCTATCACTGCTGTTCCACACCAAATGAAACTAACCCGGCTTTAGTAAGGAAAAGATTCTGGCAAGGCGAGGAGACCTATTGCCACAGGGAAGGAGATCACCCAATTGCAGGGTCTGCCAGGGTCCCTCACAAGACGATAAGCCTTACAACAAGGGTGAGGCAAACAGGGTGTTTCTTTTGTGAAGTGGAGCAAACAAGGCCAGAAGGAACCAGGTGGGGAAAGCGGCTTGAAGGAGCGGAGATGGCCTGATTGGAAGCAGAGGAGTGTTCTCAGGAGGGGCTGTGCACTGACTGAGAAGGAGAGACGCTCTGCCAAAGTGTGGTTAACAAGCGTTTTCTTCCAACTGATCAGTGGGACGGGAAGTTCAGTGCGTCACTTATGACTCAAGGAATGGGAGTTTGGAGGGTCTGCGTCTGACCTTATCATAGGTCAACAGTGAGGGGCAGCCGCGACTTGTATCTAAATCATATGAGGGGATTTTTGCAGTTCTCAGAACATAAAAGGTGGGACGATTTCTTAACCTTTGCTGTTTTCTAAGATCGCAGGGCTCCTGTGAAGTGTAGCCTTGTTGCGCGGTTTTAAAGGACAGGCGTGTGGGTGAGATACCACCTTTACACACACTTAGAGCAAGGCCGGGCCTGAGAATGTGGTGGCGAGTGGAGCCTGCACAGTGCAATGCCCTGCACTCAGCATCATGGGGAGTGGGTTTTGCCCCTGCGGGCATTCAGCGCAGGCTGGGCAATCTGTATGAATGCCTCTGGCTTAAAGGTCCAGCTGTCGCCAGGAGCCCTGGGCTCCCTGAAGCCTCCAGGTCGGCTGTCTCTCTCTGCAGCATCCCAGACCAGAGTGGGGAAGGCTTGAGCTCCCCTTCGCTTCTGGTCATCGGCCCCTAGGGATTCAGTGTTACTCTCAGGTGGGAGGCAGTAACTGAGGAGGGGTGCTTTTTCCTTCGGCGGCAGATGTATGTCTGGAAAGCAACTGTCTGAGAATTTCATTAAAAATCAGAGCCTGTTGTCATGTTTGAGAGGCTTTATTTCATGCTGTGATATAGTGTTGGAATAAAAAGCTTGCCGTAATGTAATCCCCTTATTCTCCTTCGTAAGAGTCACAGGCTGGAGCACTGCACTTCTGACCTCGGGCACTGCTGATAAAAGGGATCCTCATTCTTTTCCCTGTGAGGGGCTCCCTGGCTTTTACGTGAGCAAGTGACCCCATGATGTTTGCACCAGTGCATCAGTTAAGCTGCTATTGCGGATAAAAATCCAGGCCTGGGACATCACATGAAGACTCCATTAAAAACAGTGATTAATCAATCAGCTCCCTCAAGAGTCCTCGGGGAAATTTGGATTTTTATATATTTCATTTTTTTGTATATTATAACTCAATGACAGTGACTTTCCTTGGGCTCTGGTTCTGGTTTGAAAGTACCGAGTTGGGTGTGCAGTGCTGTGTGCACGGTTGCCAGAGGCCTGCAAACTTGGCATGAAGGAGGCTGGAATCTCATCTCAGCCACACACAGTGCGTGGAAGGAGGTAGGCTCTGGCCGTCCCTGCCGGCTGGAATGAGTGGTGTGAACAAGAAGTTCATAGAGTTCTGTGGTCTGGTAAACATTTTCAGTCGGCCAAGTGTTTCCACCCTAGACACCATTGCAGACAGCGATGACCTCAGGGACCTGTTGGGGGCACACCCTCAGTAACAGCTGGTTTTGGCAGCCCTTAGTGTGTCTTGGGAGGAGAGTGTCAGCGGGAGACAGATGCTTCAACACGATGCCTGCAGCGTGAGCCCAGAGAGAGATGGAGGGAATCTTGAGGCTGAAATCTGAAAGTGAATTCTAGGGGAATCACAGGTAAGGCTCCAGGTAAGAACAGCAGCAAACAAGAGGCCCAGGATCACACCCATGGTCTCAAAGAAGGGAGATGGGATGCCATTGGGGAGGCCGGAGGCTGTTGGGAGGAGGGTGCCGTTGGGGAGGCAGGAGGCCGTTGGCGAGGCGGGAGGCCGTTGGCGAGGCGGGAGGCCGTTGGGGAGGCGGGAGGCCGTTGGGGAGGTGGGTGCTGTTAGGGAGGTGGGTGCTGTTCTTGCTCTGGCTGTCCCTGTACACTAGGGCATTGTCTCTGCTCAGTGTTCCTGCAGGCTGCCTTCCCCATGAGGCTGTCAGTGGGAAGAACAGGGGGAGCAGATCAGCAGGGAGAGGAGATGGTGTGGCCCTTCTTTTTCTGCCTCAGACCCGGGGGTCAGCAGCTGCACCTGTGTGGCCTTTCTGGGCTGCAGTAATGCCAAGCAGTTCTGTCTTTCAGCGCCAGGTTTTAACAGCTCCCAGACATTGCCAGTCCCAGGTGCTCATCATTCTGATGGGCTCTTTCACACCTGGATAAGTGCTCCTCCATTAAAGGTTCCTATCTGAACCCTTTGAGTAGAAATCTGTTTTCTGCCAGCATCACAATGATACAGTAAAAAAGAACTTTAGGCCGGGCACGGTGGCTCACATCACATGTAATCCCAGCACTTTAGGAGGCTGAAGCAGGCGGATTACTTGAGGTCAGGAGTTTGAGACCAGCCTGGCCAACATCGTGAAACCCCATCTCTACTAAAAAGCAAAAATTAGCCTGGCATGGTGGTGTGTGCCTACAATCCCAGCTACTTGAGAGGCTGAGTAACGAGAATCGCTTGAACCTAGGAGGTGGAGTTTGCAGTGAGTTGAGATCACGCCACTGCACTCCAGCCTGGGTGACAGAGCAAGATTCTGTCTCAAAACAAAACAAAAAACTTTAAATCGCATCAAAGCAGAACAGGCTCCCTAGTGAGTTTCTTATCATTGGAGAAACTCAAGGTGAATTTGGATGACGCTTTGGTTCAAGAGGCAGATGCCAACATGAAATGTGACTTGGGGAAGGTCTGCAGAGAAACCGTGTCGTCTAAGAGGGTGAAGGAGGAGGGATAGGGAGGAAATGGTGAGAGATCCTCAGCCAGCGTGGGGAATCCTGGCTGCTCACTGGGTGGGGGTAGGGGGGGCTGCCTTGGGCAGGTGGCCTGGCTCTAGTCCCCTGCCATGCTCAGTCATACTGGGTGAGTGGGGCCTCAGTGGGAAGCCTCAGTGGAGCTGAAGGAGCTGCTGGCCTCTCACCGCTCTCCTGGAGAGATCTGAGTGGCATGCCTCCATAGTCATCACATTTTGGCAATGCCTTGGAGGGAGCCTAGACAAGTTGAGTTCCCAACCCTGTGTGTGTGTGTGTGGTGTGTGTGTGTGTGTGTGTGTGTGTGTGTGTCTGAACTCAAGTTAGGCCAGGTGTGGCTGCTCCCATCACTGCCCTCCTTGGTCAAACTTATCCAGATCAGCTTTCCTATCACCAGTCATTCCTGCACCAGGTGCACTAGAAGACGAGGGCCCCACCTGCTCCTTGGAGAAGGACAGTAGGTTCCTGATCAGTCACTGAATGCTTTGTCATTTGGAAACAAGTTAGATGTGCAGGCAGGCTGGCACAAGCAGTGTATAATTTTGAGAATGCAGCCACAAGCCAGCACCTGGAAAGGAGTTTGGAAAGGCAGATGCTCAGCTGCTGGGCTTCAGCTTGTGTTGCAGCAGCCAGAGAGAGGGTTCCTTGCAGGGGACCCTGGAGTCTTAGCAGCGACTCCTGTTCAGACTTGCTGAAGCATCCTGAGACGTTATCAGTCCCTTCTCCTTCAACCTCTCCATCAGCCACACTGTACATACTACTTTCCTTTTTAAAGACTCCTAGGAAGAGAGGTGGGAGGAAGCATCAGAAGTGCTGCAGGAATTTTGGCTTTCTGCTGTTGGCTGTCACCCCGTAGCTGTTCAACTCTCTGGAGGGTGCTTTCTCCACACACCCGTCAGCAGGGAGAAGCGTGGCTTTGATGTCCACTGGGAGACTGAGCCCCGAGCCACGTCCTCCCTGCACATCACATCACAGAGGCTCTGGCCCAGCAAGTCCTCGCCCCAGCACTTTGGCTCCAAGACAGATAGGCCCTGGTGAGGCAGCGCCGCCTGCGACTGTGATGCACTGGTTCAGGTGGAGCGGCTGGAGTAGGTGGGGATGGCGGGCGGGAGCGGAGGCGGGAGGGAGGAGGTGGGGAATGGAGGCGGGGAGCGGGGGCGGGAGGGACGAGGTGGGGAATGGTGGCGGGGAGCGGGGGCGGGAGGGAGGAGGTGAGCCCACCTCCCTGCTCCCCACGGAAGGCAGCGTGCAGAGCACCTGTGCTGTGGATGCAGCACGAGACTTCAGACTCAGGAGGTGCCCTCACATTGTGCTGTTTTGTATGGAAGTCCTTGATTCATGCTCATACTTTTGAGACAAATGTTTGGTCTCTGCGGGGCATTTTCTTTTTTTTGGAAATGGGGTTGCTCTCTGTCACTCAGGCTGGAGTGCAGTAGCGTGATCAGGGCTCACTGCAGCCTTGACGTCCTGGGCTCAAGTGCTTCTCCCACCTTGGCCTCCCAGGTATCTGGGACCACAGGTATGGGCCACCAAGCCTGGTTCTGTGGCCTATTGTTATTTAATGATGTTTCCATGTGGCTGCATTTAGTTCATGGTGGTTATTCTATTGCAGTTTATGCCACTGGACCTTTCTCTTTAAATAGCTGCCCCTGTTTCTCTGTCCCCCTGGGGACAGCCTCACAGGGGTCTGAAATGCGCAGATTCTCCTTGTGGTGGGAGGAGGTCCCTTGGGTCTCCTGTGACCTCGCCTCCCTCCATGTTTCCTGCCAACTGGACACTTCCTGGCACAGATGCACAGGTCGATGTCACGTCCATTCGTTAGCAGCTGCTTGCGGCTGATAAGGAGGGCTGAAAACCCTTTGCTGCTCTGTCCACTGAGAAGTGGTGCCTCAGTCCCCTCCCCTTGAGTCTGGGCTGGCCACAGGGACCCACTTGACCAGGAGACTGCAGCAGAGAGACACTGCCGGACTGCCGAGGTGGCCGAGAAGCCTCAGTCTCCACCCCGCTCTCTCTCCAGATGTTCCCTCTCAGGACGTTCACTCTTGCCACCTGCCCACCACACTGTGAGTCGCTCATTCCCACGGGGAGGCCACGTGCAGGCCCTTGCTGCGGCAGCCCTGGCCGAGCTCCCAGGGTGAGCCATGTGAGAAAGCCACCGTGCCAATCTGCTAGGGCTGCCCTCAACACTACCTGCTCTGGGTGGTTTAGGCAACAGAAATGTATCATCTCACAGTTACAGAGCTGGGAAGTCCGAGGTCCGGTTGCCATGGAGCTGGCTCCTCCCAAGGGCCTGGAGACAGAAGCTGCTCTGTGCCCCTCCCTGGCGTCTGGTGTTTGCTGCCATCTTTGCTGTCCCTTGGTTTGTAGACACACATGACTCCAGCCTCCGCCTTCATCTTCACATGGCATTCTGCTGTGTGTGTCTGTGTCTTTCCCCTTTTTAGATCTTTTCTGCTCAGAGACCCCTCCCTTTGAAGAGAGAGAGAGAGCTGTTTCTCTTCTGCCTGTTAAACCTCCATTTCTAAATTCCTCGTGTATGTCTGTATCTGAAATTTTCCTGGTGCAAGACAATGAACCCCAAGGTGTGTACCCCAGACAATGTGTCTGCTTCATATGGGGACCTCGTCCAGGATACCAAGGTGTGACATTTTGAAACGGTGAGTAGAGGAGCGGACTCTAACTCTGTCCTTTCATTTCAAGGCTCTCAGCCTCCACTTTAGAACCAAATCAAACCAAATACAGAGCCCTCTTCAGACATTTATAAATGATTAACCTGGCTGCCAGCCTTATAAGACTTGGGGACAGACTTTCTGGAGACAACATGGAGAATCCCCCAGCACCCGTGGGTTGCTGGGCATATTGGCCGTGTTTGAACCAGCTTCCTTTCACAGAGGACTTAACCATTGCCCTGGGGAAACTGAGGATTTCTGGCAGACACTACCTCCTCCCTGTGTTATCCAAAGGCTTCTGGACTGACTGCAGCCTCTGACCGTCCGATGGGGTTTGGCAACAGGATTTCCAACTTTTCTGTCACAATTTCCTCCTTTCCCGTCCGCGGCTGTCACGTCTCTTATCTCCTCTGCATATTCAGCATGTGGGAAGTTTTACGGTTCAGGGAAGGGATCTGGTTTGGGAAAAGTCAGCAAATGTTGTAGTAACCGGGGGCGCAGCTCAAGGGAGATGGTCTTTCTGAGTTTCTAGGAATAGAAGGTCCTTGCTCCAAAATAAGATTGTGGGGGGTTACCAGCCTTCCCCGAGTGCTGTGTAAGTGTCACACATGATGGAACCAATCTGTGAGCCCTACGTAAATCACACACTGCCTCCTCAAGCTGGAGTATAAAATCTGGCACATCCGCCCGCAGTCTTTTCCCCTCAGAAGCCCCTCTCTCTCTAGAGAGAGCAGTTCCTCTTCTCTTCTCTTCTGCCCATTAAACCTCCACTCCTAATAAAAACCACAATTCATTTTTTTATTAGAACACCAGTGTATTGGGTCAGGGCCCGCCCTATTTAAGTGTGACTCCATCTTAACTCCACAGATTACATCTGCAACAGCCCAATTTCCAAAGAAGCTCACATTCTCAAACACTGGGGGTAAGAATTCAACATAGGACTTTTTAGGTGGTGGCCACACTTCGACCCATAACAGCCATCACTGGGTGTTCAGCCTGGTGGTGCCTCCAGACAACTCCAGCTCCAGACACCATCTGACGGAGATCTCCTGAGAGCCCCTGAGTGAGAACCGCCCAGCTGAGCCCGGCCACCCCAGAGCTGCAGGAGTTGATTTTAGCCACTGAGTTTGGGGTGGTGTTTACATTGCCACAGATGACTGTGGCCTTCCCTGGTTTTCAGGGAACAATTGAATATCAGCCTGGGGACATCAATTCTGAGTTTGTTAGGATGCCAAGGTCCAGTGTAGGTCAATTCCTGTACATTTTAGCAGTGACACTTGACAGTGTCTGATTGTGCAAGATTTAAAACGAAGTTCCTGTGGGCAGCCAGTTATGTCACTGGGTGCTGTTACTTCTAACAACAGCAGCACCGTGCACGTGGCTGGCGGCTCTGGTAGCTTCTTTCTTCTATCACCCGACAGCCAGCCAGCTCCTGTGCTGCACGTGAGATCCCATGGGCCCTGCAGTCAAGCAGATGTGATCCCAGGCGTGGCCTTGTGGTGGGGCTTGATTTCTGTTCTTCTTAGCCTATTGATTCTGACACCACCACTCCAGCATCAGCAGCAGCAGCCTTACTGTCTATTTACTGCTCACCGTGGGCAGTGCAGCCTGGCTCTGCCTGGGCCATCAAGCCAGGCCGAGGGGCGGCTTGCCCCTTCTGCTTCATGGAGGCAGAGGCTGAGTCTCGCTGGGGTTGAGTGTGACTGAGACCACACAGCCGGTGGGCAGGGGACCTGGGATTTGGACCAGCCTCACCTGCACGTGGGGCCAGCAATCGTGAATCAGAAACAAAGCAGGGCAGGCCGAGGGGAAGGGCACTGAGGGGTGGGGCGTGGGGCTCTGTCCTCCTAACTTCTCTGATGATGATGGTCTCCCGGGTTGCTGTTGAACATTCAGGGCGTGGGGCTTCCTCCTGGAAATCCTCCTGGGGCAGGTGGGGGACGGGAGATCTGTTATTTGGAATCAGTGGATTCCAAATTGCAAACATGGCTGTTGGAGGAGTTCCGTTCCTGCGTTCATCCCACCCCTCTGATCTCAAAGCCTAGGCGGCTAGGGCTGGAGATTCTGTGAATTACCAAGACTGGTTTTCATGCCTCCAGTAGGTTGTATGTTTAAGTACATTTTAAGCATCATGGATAATGTAGGGATGACTTACATACTTATATCAGTTGAATGAAAGGCAATTGGCATTCGAGACAGGGCTCTTGTCATGAAAATGTGTCTGAGAAAGTGACAGAAACCATTTGAAACAGCGCTCAGGCAGGCATTTTTGATTCTGAGAACTATGGCTTACACAGAAGGAAAGATGGCGTGGGAGGGACCAGCTGGCCCCGGCTCCAGGTTGTCAGTAGGTGCCTGGTTGTCATGAGAGAGGGAAGCACGGGGCAGGGCACGGGCCTTCTCACAGAGAGGAGAGCAGGAATCACCCTGGAGAATGCCTCCCGAGCTGCTTCCTGCTCACGGAACACCTGATCTCCACCTTGGTAGTTTCCAGGGCGTGTGTCGTCCTGGCAGGCGCAGCACACAGAGGTGCGGTCAGCTGCCTGCTTGGAGCCCGCACGGCTAACAGCTCCTTAGAGTTCTCGGCATTGCATGTGCACACATCTCATTTCTAGGGAGTTATCAAGTGAGTTTCCCTGCAGACTGATATTACTATCTTTTTCCTGGCATGTACTTCCAAAGCCACCTGCTCATAAAGGAAGAAATTGTTCTTTCACTAGAGCCTGACTGGCTCTTGATACCGCTTCCACTGCATCAATCTGGTACCAAGGGGACTCACTTCTGTGTCTGCGGCCCCAACATCTGAACCCTTGCAAGATCCAGGGAGCCACTCCTTCCTAGGCTTTGTGTGGGAGCCTAGCACTCCCTGCCTACCGCCCCTGGGAGGCTCTGTCTCGGCTGGAAGCCACTGGGGCTAAGGTCTGGGTGTGGCCAGCCTGCCCTCTGGGATGTGTTGGCTCTGGGCTCTCTTCCTGCTTCCAAGATCCACATTCCCCAAACGGAGCACCCTTCCCTTCCCTTCAGTACGATCACTTCCCGGTGTCATCATCCACCACGCCCGGCACCTGCCCCGAGCACTGACCCCTGGAGTCCGCGCAGCAAGTTTATCTGTGGGGTGGGGCTGTGGGGCATCAGGCAGGGAGGTGATGATCCTCTACCACAGTGAGGGCCACGTAGAGGGGAGGCAGTGGAACCCTTTGGGCCAGCACCATGATGGCTCCACACAGAGTCCCAGTAAGCAGCGCCTCAGTGCAGACAGAGCTGCAGAGGGGTTCAGGCCAGAGCCTCCAGGGCAGCTCAGGGAGGGCTCCTAGAAGGGAAGAAGCCTGACTGTATTCTGGGCAGAGCTCACAGTGATGGTGCAGAGTGGCAGTCCGGGCTCTCCAGGGCCCCCGTCCTCGAGGTTCCTGGCCCCAGCACCCTGCACTTGCTCTAGTGTCCCTCTGACTACACCCCACATGGCTGCTCCGACTCCTCTAGTGAGGCCTGGATCCCAGGGAGTTTGGAAGCACCCAGCCGGAGTGGAGGATGCGGAGGGGTGGCCTGATGACCCCTCCCATTATGGCTTGGGGGCTGTTGGATCTAAGGCCTCTGGGCAAAGGAAGGCATCTGGGAGGGTGGGGGAGGTGCAGGGTAACCTCTGGTCATGGGCGCTTCGGCCCAGCAACTTCCCCAAGGCCTCCAAAGGCTGTAGGAACAGCCAGACACAGGAAGAGGCGCTTCATCTCCTCAGGCAACACATGAAGTCTGAGGTTTCAATGAGAGGCGTTTGCGCCACGTGCCCCTGGGAGGGTTGCAACAATTATACCAAAATTGAGGTGTGATTTGCATCTAGAGACAGGCCCAGACACCAGTATATAGGGTTGTTTTCAACTTGAATTTCCCTAATAACTAATGACACTAAGCATCTTTTAAATCTGCTTATTTGCCATCTGTATTTCTTCTTTGTTGAAGGGCTCATTCAAAGCTTTTGCCCACTTTTATATTGGATTATTATTATTGAGTTTGAGAACTTTCTATAGCCTGTCTACTAGTCTTTTACCAGTTATGAGTTCTAAAAGTATCTTCTCCCAGTCTGTGGTTTGTCTTTTACTTTCTTAACCGTGTCTTTCAAAGAGGAGACGTCTTTAATGATGATGGAGTCTCAGCCGTCAGTTTTAAAAATGGTTTTTGTTTTTTGTGTCCTACGAAATCTTCCATTTTCTCCTGTGTTTTCTTCTAGCATGTAGCATCTTTCGATTCTAGCTTGTGTGTACTGTACGTATGTGCGTGTGTGCGTGTGTGTGTGCGTGCGTGCATGTATGTGTGTGCCTGTGTGTGTGTGTGTGTGTGTGTGTGAGGCTCTCTCCCTAATCAGAGTCAGACTGCCTTGAGGACAGCAGTCACAGTTCAGCCAGCTTTGTTTTCTCCATGTGCTGTGGTCCCCTGCATGGTGCAGGCTCCGTGACTACAGATGAGCCGTGAGTAGTGACAGGCCCCTGTGGAATGTGTCTTTGGCCATGCCGAGCTGGCTTCCGAGTCTTCCCAGCCCAGCACTGGGGAAATGGCTCTGTTTTTCTGGGAGGCTCTGACACAGGCTTGTAGACCTTGCTGTTGTTTGTGTTCTCAGCTCATAGCAGCTTCTCTCCAGTTCACCTTGGAGTCAGGTAACCTCTCCAAGTGCAGAAGGCATTTCAGCTACTTCCTGTCCCTTCTCTGCAAGCATCATGATCATGCTTTTGGTGCTGTAATCCTTCCACATGGGTGGCCCACCTCTCCCAGCCATCATCCCCAAGTCTGTCTGCGATGGTGAGGGGGGAATGTGCATGGTCTCCCCTCTGCTTAGTTCAGTGGGTGTCTGAGCACTTACAGGGTGCCAGCTCAGTAGCCCCTGACTTAAACCCTCTAAGCCATCTGTATTTGTTCACAACAGGAAAAGGCATTTATTGAACACAGATGTGGCCAGTCCACACAGGCTGCTCCGTCCTGTGTGTTTGTTCTCCTTGGCATTCCCTTGTCTGGTGGACACTTCATTCTTTTGTAAGTTTTTCCTCTGAGGTTCTCTGTCATTGGATTAGTAAACACTTGATTAACTCCGAGCCAAAAATAAACAGAAGCAAGAACGTAAATGATGCTGCAGATGAAACCAGGCCTGGTGGTCTCAGAGGGCCATGGAGCCAGCGCAGTGATGGCCTGAGGGGCTCAGCTTGCACTCTAGGTGAGTGGACACAGTTCTCCCCCTAACCCTGACTTCCCACAGTTCATTTCTTCCCTAAACTTCTCTCGTTCTACGCTAGCTGGAGAATACAGCATTTCCACGGATGCCTTGCACAGTCCTCGGGAAATATCAGCCTCCATAGGTGCCTTCAACAAAAACCTGTTCCCTTCACCTGGGAATTCGTAAGCACAGGGGGCTCCACATGGTGAATAAAGGCAGCAGCGTTAGCATCCAGATCCCGGCACGGCTGCAGACCGCACGGCGGGACACGGTGTGTGCTTTGATTTAGAACCTTTACATGGAGAGCACCCCCCACTCGTTAGAAGAGACACAGACAGAAATAAAGGTTTTATGTGTTCTCACTGTTCCTCACCCGCCTATGAGTGAGAACATGCGGTGTTTGATTTTCTGTTCTTGTGTCAGTTTGCTAAGAATGATGGTCTCCAGATTCATCCATGTCCCTACAAACGACACAAACTCATCGTTTTTGATGGCTGCATAATATTCCATGGTGTGTATGTGCCACATTTTCCCTGTCCAGTCTATCACCGATGGGCATTTGTGTTGGTTCCAGGTCTTTGCTATTGTAAACAGTGCTGCAGTGAACATTCATGTGCACGTGTCCTTATAGTAGAACGATTTATAGTCCTTTGGATATATACCCAGTAATAGGATTTCTGAGTCAAATGTAATTTCTATTTCTAGGTCCTTGAGGAATTGCCACACTGTCTTCCACAATGATTGAACTAATTTACACTCCCATCAGCAGTGTAAAAGTGCTATTTCTCCACATCCTTTCCAGCATCTGTTGTCTCCAGATTTTTTAATGATCAACATTCTAACTGGCGTGAGATGGTATCTCAATGTGGTTTTGATTTGCATTTCTCTAATGACCATGGACACAGGGAGGGGAGCATCACACACTGGGGTCTGTTGGGGGAAATAGGGGAGGGACAGCAGGGGGTGGGGAGTTGGGGAGAGAGAGCATGGGGAGAAATGCTGGGTATCGGTGAAGGGGAGGAAGACAGCAAATCACACTGCCACGTGTGTACCTATGCCACAATCTTTCATGTTCTTCACATGTACCCCACAACCTAAAATGCAATAAAAAAAAAGAAATAAAGGTTTTATTGCTGGTTTTTTTTTTTTTTTTGAGATGGAGTTTCACTCTTGTTGCCCAGGCTGGAGAGCAATGGCACAATCTCCACTCACTGCAACATCCGCCTTCTGGGTTCAAGCGATTCTTGTGCCTTAGCCTCCTGAGTAGCTAGGATTACAGGCATGTGCCACCATGCACAGCTAATTTTTGTATTTTTAGTAGAGAGAGGGTTTCACCATTCGTGCCAGACTGGTCTTAAATTCCTGACCTCAAGTGATCCACCCATCTCAGCCTCCCAAAATGCTGGGATTACAGGCATGAGCCACTGCGCCCAGCCTCTAAGTTTTATTATTTATGGGCCCTGGGCATACACAGCACTCCTGGAGGCCACACACATAGGGATCATGGAGCACAGGCAGGGAGGGTGAAGAGGGGGAGGTCACTGGGAGCATACTGGGGGATAGGGTGTGGGTCACTGTGAGTTTGTGGGAAAATGGCTAAATATCAGTTTAGAGGGAGCAACAGAAAAGCTGGAGCCCCATCTGTTAGGCAGATGACATGTCTCTAAGTTCTTAGCTCTGGCCGCTGACTTGAGCCATCTGGGCGTGGTATAGAACCAGAAACTGTCTAGGGTGACTGCCCTGCCTCTAGCAGGGGGAGGTTAAGCCTGCATTCAAAGTGGATGCCCAAGCATAGCAGGATCTGGCCGCCACATGCAAAGGAGCTCTTCACATTTGTGGTGGCTTCACCTCAAGGCATCAAGGAGTGCTCTGGTCTGCAGCTAGCTCCATGTTCTCAGATCTGGGAGAGGCACTAACCTTGATGCTGACACGGGGCTCTGCCGTTCACACTTGGCGCCAGGTGGCACAGCACCACCACATGCTCGCCACTGTGTCTGGATGAGCCATTTTGTGTTTTGAATCATGCGTCACCAGCACACAATTCCTTAGAGAATTGAATTAAGGCTCCAGTGACCCCTAAGGAAAACAGTGTTTTGCATAATGTCAGTCCCGGCCTTGGCTGAGCGTAGCCAGGCCTGGGAGGAGGCACATGAACGTTTGGCTGAGTCTGGTCGTTGGAGGACACTCAGGCCCTCCTGATGAAGGAGCCAGTTCCCAGTCAGGAGAAACCAGCCCTCTGCAGGCTGCAGCAGCCTGGGCCAGGTACTCACATGGCACCATTTGGGAGCTGGGTCAGGAGGGTTTTGTTAGTTGATCCAACGTTTAAAAAATATCCCTTGTGCTGAGCACATAGGCGCTGGCACTGAAATGGCGGGCATACACCCCTGTCCGCTGGGGCTCAGGGTGTGAGTGCAGCTATGGAAGTTACAGGAGACAGACAAGTGAGAGGTGTCAAGATGGGGACGAGGCATGGGAAAGGGCAGCTGCAGCAGTGACAGCCCAGAAGGCAGTGCCCGGCATAGCGTGGGCGTCAGAAAAGCCTGCCTGGCAGAGGAGGACCACGCTGAGTGCAGAAGTAAATGGGAGTGAGTGGGAAACAATGAAGTGAGGGTGTGTCCATGGAGGGAGGAGCTCTGCCACAGAGGAACAGCCATTTCTCCAGGGGAGGGCACGAGCAGGATGAATGCGGGGCTCCCAGGTATGTCAGCCATGAAGAAGTGATGCTTTTCCAAAGCCAGGCCACCGAGGGTCCTTAGCCCCTTACAGCCCTCCATATCTGCAGAAAACCCAAGGAATTAGGCCATGTGTGAGACAGTGTAGGGTATTGCTCCTGCCACTGTTAACCAACAGAAACCACCCAAAGCTTTCTCTTTTCTCCATCTTTGGAGAATCACAACTCCTTTCGGCAAAGTGAGGGGGGTAATTGCAGGACGGTCCTCTGGGTGACCAGCACCTGCCTGGTTCTTCCCTCTTCCTTGCTTGTAGTTCTCAAAATAACTGAAATGTGTGGGGACTGCAACATCCTGAGATAGGTGACAGTGGGTGGGAACAGCCCGGGCTTGGTTCCCGTCCCCCCTAGAAACTGGTGTCATTCAATGTTTTAGCCTCTGGGTCATGTGATCTCTAGGGTATCCCACCCATGACAGGCTGCCTTTGGGGGTCCCTTAGCTGTGGTGCAAATGAGGCACACAGTCAGACTCCATGTGTGCTGAGCAAGTGTCCCGAGCCTTGGGGTCCCTCTCATCATGAACCCAGCCTCCGCTGTCCCTCGCTGCCTGTCTGTTGGTAGTAAATCCGCTTCGTGTAACCAGTTGCCTGTGAGTGTGCTGTGCCTCCCTGGACTCACACGAGCTGGTGCCCAGTGACCTGCTTCACAGGAACACTTGCCATGCCACGTGACAGAATTGGGCGAGGCCACTCCACGTGGACAGACACCGAGTTGACAATCCAGAGGGACCAGTTTTGGTGAGAGATACAAGAAGGTGTGCCTGATCTTCAACTAGACAGGGGGTTTTGGCGAGAGCCAGGACTCCAGGAAAGGGCACAGCCCAGGCAGCACCGGCCTGCCATGTCTGCACTTCCCCCCTCTGAGCTCTTTCAGAAAACCTCGTTTCTGCTCCAGATACGGAGTATCGTCAGCAGAGCAGTGTTGGCTCTGGCTCCTGGAGGACATACAGACAGGAGAATTCACAAAGGAGGGAGGCGGCAGCTCCCATTCCACCTCCTGACCTGCAGGGCAGCTCCCACCACTGTGGTTTGGGAGTGAAGAGCAGGCTCTTGGCTCAGCATGTGCTCAGGTGTGCGCTGGAAATTCCAGGTGCCGGGATTGCAGCAGGTGGGAAAACGGGCTGAGCACTGCCTGCACTCCGGAGGGGGGCAGTGGGGGCTGCACCAGTGCCATATCTCCTTCCTGTTGGTTGGCATGTGAGTGCCTTTGGCACCCAAGATGTTACAGACTTTGTGCTGGGGTTGGCATCTGCCATCTTCATGGTACAAAGACCCTAGAGCCCCTCCCACCAGAGTGAACAGGGCAGCTAATTCACACGGCTACTAATTTTTGCACCTGTTCCTGATATTCCTTTCCCCAGAACAATAGTGAGGACAGGATTTTTGCCCCATTAGGTCAGGAGAATTTATAGTGGATTGAAGCCCATCTCTTTCCTGGTTGGAAATCCTGGAGGGACTTCCGCCAGAGAGGAGACAGGCAGAGGCAGCGGTGGCTAGGGAGAGGGCGGTGGTCACTCTCACCGGTCCGGAAAGGGTTCTTGGGGTGCTAAGAGCAGGTTTCTGTGAAGGGTCTCAGAGATGGAAGGGGCTTACCCCCAGGTTTCTCCAGGGCAGGACAGCTTCGTTCCTGCTGTGCCAGTCATCAGGGCGGGACTGGGGTGCGTCGAGACCCCAGGGCACAGAATTTAGGGAGGCATCTATTCTTTGGGTGATGCAGATGCCCACCTTGTATTTGTGCCACCTAGTGCCTCCTTCAATGTTGCCCTGGAGGTGCCTCTCTTGCCCCATCCTGGTCCTGACCCTTACAGTAATTAAGGGCACTCTTAGTTGCTCTCAAAACTTTTCCCACTTTGGAAGAAAAATTATATGGGCACCCTACTCAGAGAGAAATGGTAGGTCTGCCATCCCTGGAGAGGCTGCCTTGGGTACCATGTCACAGGGTGGGGAGAGGTGGATGTGCCCCAGCTGGCAAAGAGGCTGTGGGGTGCCATCAAAGTGCCCATGAGAGTCTGGGTGATGAGGAGGCTGGAGCCCCCCCACCCTCTGGCCAGTGCCAGCCTCCCAGGTTCCCTTGGGACTGCAAGGTAGTGGGTGAGCACGGGGAACAATGACACTGGCTTTTGTGCCAGCTAAATAATATGGGGGTTGAAGTCAGACTTAGAGACTTTTAAGAAAAGAAAGAACATGTATTGGCTTGCATTTCGATAGAAGTATCTGGAAGGATAGACAAGGAACAGGTTGCCCTTTTCCCCTCGAGGGAGCTAACTGGGTGGCTGGTGAGGTGGAGGGAGATTTGGTTTGCACTGTGTAGCTTTTTGAACTTTTTGAGTGTTATGCCATATAAATGTAACACTTATTAAAACATAAACAAAATAAAATTGAAAAGAAAATAAAGAAATCAGCCTTCTTCTTCACATTGAAGATTCTGGGTGTAAGACAGTCAAGCATCCCTGAGGCCAGCAGGAGAGAGTTTCAGAAACCATCCTTTGCTGGCCTGTACACACAGCACACGACACGTAACACCATGCCTCACACACAGTCAGCAGCATTTCATCACAGGTGTGGAATCCCCTTAAACTTGATGTTGGCCTCAGTTTCAGATGAGACACCTTTTTGTTTGTTTTAAAGAAATGACATTTAAAAAGGCAAATCATGCCCCTTTCGTGGACTCTGTGCATCAGTTCAGAGGGCCTGTCAGCCCTCGGGTGCAGCCTCCTTAGCAGAGAGGTTCTACCCTTTGACATCATGGGGAGAATATGCTGTTGAATGATGCTCTCCACATTCATTCGCAGACCTACCATTCACATCTGCCAGGCACCACTCCGGGCCTCAGGGATACAGTGGTGACAGAAGCTGTGGCAGGCCCTCCCTCCCGGAGCTTCCATGTTAGTGGAGGTGGGGTGGAGGGACAGCCAGCACATGCATGGATCTCCACCATGCCTGCTCGGGGCAAGGGCTGTGGAGAAAGTACTGGCAGGAGCCATAGAGGATTTGGTGGCTGCTGTTTGACAAAAGGAAAGGCCTCCTGGAGAGGGTGACATTTGAGAGCTGGAAGAAGTGGGGTAGTCCCACCCTGAAGATCATTGCAGCCAGGCAAAGACCCCGAGGTGGAATTTTGCCAAGCATGATCTGAGAACTAACACAGGTTGATATGGGATTGGAGGGGGAAGGAGACAGCAGGGAGGTGAGGCTGAGGGTCACATC